TTTTTTTCTTTTTTTCCCTAAACACCAATTATTAAGGATGACTATATACCTCGGACCGGACAAAAAGGATTTTTATATTGGCTACTAGCATGTGAAAGTGATATTATTCTAAACTTTTCACCAAGTAATGGAGTAAAGTATGGGTAGATTTCACTCCACACAAACGAAGACTAAGTAAGATTTGGTAGGCAAATAAACTAGCTTATAACTTATTTGATTAACTTATAAGCTCCTGTATTCAAGTAAACTTCGTTTGGTATGACGAACTTTTTTAAAAAGTTCGACCATATTTGATAAGCTTCATTGGGTAGCTTTTCAAATATACTTGTTAAAATTTTTATTTCAGCTAGCTTATCAGTTAATTTTACCAAACACTTTTTGATTATATAATTTAGTTTTTAAACTGTAAGTCATAAGTTATACGCTATAAACTCGAAAATTAGTGTTTATAGACTAGTTTTACCAAACATAGCCTTTAATTGGTTTTACACCAACACACAGTATGCACCAATAGTAAAATATTGCACCAAAAGTAAAACATCTCTTGTTCATTTAATTGTGAAAAACTCAATAACCTTACTCTTACTGTAGTATGTGTTGATCCAACGATAAAAAAAAAAAAACTCCATGATTTTGGTAAAAAAACCCATTGTATGTTGATCTAATTTTGAAAAATCTGATACTTGTGCTGCACTGCATGTTCATTCAAGGATGAAAAAAATCGATAATTGCATTGCAATTGTGTGGGGGTGGAATACATTGAATAAAAAATATGATTGAGACTACTCGGCTCGATTCCTGTTACCGTGTATATTTATGTAGCATATCTTGTGTATTATTTGAGGAGATATTTTAGGGATAATTAGTATCTTGTGATTAGTTTGTTTCCTTATTTAGTTAGGATGTAATCTTGGTTATATATATTGGCTAATCAGAATTCTCTGATCATCACGTTTGGATGAATCAGTTCCCCAGTATTTTCTTTTGACATGGTATCAGAGCCCGGTTAATTTTTTTCTTCTTGAATTCTAAGTCTCGATCAACTGAGACTCAATTTTTGCTGCTCTCGATCAACGAGCCTGTTTCAAAAAAAAAAAATCCTTTTTTTTTCAGGTCTCGAACAACTGAGTCCTCTTCTCAATTTTTCTTCTTTTCTCTGGTGATTTTGTTTTGGTTTAGCCAATTGAGTGGGGCCTGGAATAAATTCACTTCAATTTTGGGGGTTTCTTTTTCTTTCAATTTGGCAGTAAGTCCTGCAATTGTTTTGA